GGACAGATCTTTGGGAAAATCCAATAAGGGGTGGCGGGAAGCTGGGAGGAAATTAGGGAAATATTTCCTAATTCCTATTCTCAGATTTTTGGAAACTAATTAAAGGTTTTGTCTTTAAAAGTTTCGGTTAGCATGAGGTGGAATTACTTCTCAGCAGAGAAAGTGGAAATTAGGAAGAGTTTCCTAATCCAAGCCCAAGAGAGAGGGGGCGGCGGTAGTAATGGGAAAAAGGAATTGAGCAAGTCATTAATGCCTGCTAACGTGAGATATGTAAATAGGGAAAGGTAGATTTAAATCCCAATCTTTCATAAATTGATTTGATTGAGTTTAAAATAACTTTCCTAAAATAGAGGTTGTAAATTAGGAAACATTTTGAATTTCAAATCACTTGGATTTGAGTTCAAATATAATCCTAAATATATTTAACTCATATTAGGAAATAACTAAAAGAGGGGGAAATCAAAAAGGGGAAAAAGGGGAAAGGTGGCCGGGGGTAGAAGCCTAAGGCCGGCGGCCAAGAGGGGGGATCGGGTGAAGGTGGCCGGCGGTTATGGGGAAAATTTGTGGAGTTTGATCTGAGGAGGAAGTTGGGAAATTTGGTGGAGTTGGATGTGACGAAGACGAATAAAGGAGGGTGGTGAGGGAAGACAAAAATACAAAGAGAAAACCATGAACCCGGCCGTCTCCAAGGTTGGTGGGTGATACGAATTCCCTCTCCTAGGGATCTCTCCAAGTTCCCCTCAAGAACTCTCAAGTACTCTCAAACACAAGCGTAGAAAATTTTCATAATCATTCATTCCTTCATTACTTTTCAAAGAGAACATAGGGCTATAAATAGCCAAGTATAAGGACTCAAGAAAATAAAAAGACAACAAAGCCCTCAGGGCTTACATACGACCTCCATTTAAGTAAGGGGTAAAAACGGAAAAACAATTACAACATAATAATAAAAGATAAATAACAAAATAAAAACAAATATATGAAATAACTAAAAAGTCATCGACGCGATCGTGGCCGTAGATCGACGGCCACACCTTTGATTCATGCTTTGATGTCCTCATCATAATTCTCACTAACACTTATCCTGATTTAACTCATTAGGATCGAGTTAAGGAAAAGTAGTCTTATTTGATTGTCCCAATAAGTTTACCAAGCATTTAACAATCATCTAATAATCCATCATAATTATTGAAATGAAAACGAATATAGATAATATCATCAATTTAAGTGCAAAGCTTCTAAATAACATCTAATACATTCATACATGCCAACATTCTTTAATCTATATCATATATATCTTCTATAATATATCCAAAATCATATGCCCAAAACATTATTGTGTAGAGCAAAACTAGTCCTACTCTTTCACATGTCCTTTTCCTTTTTCCTGAAACCATTAGATGGCATCGAATGAGCTACAAACATAGTGAGATAATTAATTCTAACATAAAGTTCAAAAATACAAGAAAGAACACGAAATATCATGCTATTCATATGTGCAAAAGGAAGCATTTACATCAATTATATATAATTAGCTAAGTACAGTAGATAATAGTTTAATCCATTTGTTATTAATTGATTGTATGATGGATCAAATCAGAATTAACAATTATAACTGTTACATGAAAATGAGAATGATAGTAATTTTTTTTATTTTTACTCTTATTCATACTTAACAATCAGTATTTTCAAAATGTTATATCAAGTTTGTAGGTTTTTGACCCCATTAAGAGTTGAGAATTTCTTTTTATTTTCTTAATATAGGTTAGACTAACCAACTCTCCAGTATCAAGAGTTGAGAATTCCTTTTTATTCACATCTCTCTATGTAGGTCATCAAAGTCAGCCTGTCTAACTCACTTTATATGACCTTTCATATGATCCTTGAATTTTAATCTTATTATTTCAACCATTTACAATTTATTGGCATTGACATAAATATGTATCATTTATGATGTGCATTGATGATAAAACATGATATATGTAAAATACTCATGTATGCATCGTACATCATTAAATAGTTTTATGTTTGAAATTAATGATGATTAATCTGGAATCATTTGAATTAATGATAATATGTTATGTATTAAATCTTGCATTAATCTTAAATATTGTTTAACATGCTTAATATGAAGAAAATCTACCCATTCGGATAAAATAGGTTTAGAAAATCATAAAATGTGCAAACGTTAAACCCATGAACAATTCAGCCCTCATATTAGAAATTGAGTACCTTATCAGAATAATTTGATTCTCCTCACGATAGATTTTATTTTTTTCCTCTCTGATGCCTCGACTTTTGGTAAATAGCCTAAAAATAATATTTTTATCAATTTGTAACGTGTTCAAATTTAATAATTTAATTTATGACAAAATAACTTCAAATAATATTTTTTACCTCAAAGCCGTTTATTCCTAATAAATTAAGAATAAATATCAAGAAGAATGATTTTTAATTATACTAATCTATTAATGGTAGAAAAATGGATCAAGAAGAATGTGCTTTAATTATATTAATCTATTAATGGTAGAAAATTATTTATTTTAGCTACATTTTCTTCTTAATTTATACCCACTATTTTCTTAAAAATATCATGTATTTTTTCTCTAAGCTTTTGGTATATTTATATCATTTGATCATTGTCTAACCCATCGGCCATAATGACCATTGAAAAATATTGGTCAATCCAACAATATAGTAGTTATCAATTACATCTGATTCAACGTTAGCCTCTTCCAATTTTTAGAACCAAGAGTTGCGAATCATTTTTATTTCCCTACTGTGACTCATCTCATTAGAAGTTTTGTCTTTCTCTGAGCAGGTCACAATAATTTGCTAATCATGACATGACCTTACATAGGCTTTTTTTTCTTAACATCATTGCATAAGAATTTATAATTATTTTAATATTTTTTGCGCACATGCTAACATCAACTTTTATCATAATGCAAGCACGGTATGACATAACATAAAATAAATTATATTTAAATACTTAAATATGCATAATAATTTATTAGAGAATCAAAAGGCTTGAATTCCATGAACATAGAATGAATTTATTTTTATTAGTTGATCATGAATGTCCAGTGAATATCTTGGTATCATTATTTATCATCAGCATGATCAATATGAAGAACTTTTTTATATATAACATATCAATATATTTGTAAAAAATTACAAATATTAGACCTATGAATAATTTGCTCCATATATTTGGGATTGAGTATCTCAACACAATTAAAGGATCCTTCTTGAAACGGATTTTCTTATTTTTATCTTTCTGAGATTTTGATCTTCCTGTAAACAATACAAAAATAACAAGTTTCTTAATTTATTCAAATTCCTAAATTAATAACCCAATCTAATACAAAATGAATTCAAAATGCCATGTTACCACAAAAGAATTTCTCCTTATTCAAACCCTTTTAAACCTACAATTCAAACTCACTTTGTAGAAGAAATCACCAAAAATCGGATTTGCTTCTCCTTTCATTTGTTCCCCTTTTCTTCTTTACTTCTTCCTTTTCTTCCCTTCAACCAGCCCTTTAAGAATATATCAAGTAATTAAATAATAACTTAGTTTATAAAAATTTTATTTCCCTTTAAACCATTTTAGCCATTAACAACTTAATCCATCAATGTATGATTGTATAAGTGAAAAAGGAGATTGCTATAGGACAATAGCCACTGAACAATAAAAGTAAGAGAAAATGATCAAAATGATCCCCAACTTTTTTAAGAGACCATTTGGTCATCCAGCTCCTTAAAAATGTGTATTTTTTGTCATAATATCAAATTTTGGGGTTAATGGTATTAAATCAAGGAATATTTTGGTCATTTTTTAATTAAATATAATTTTCAAGTAATATATATATTTTTAATTTATGAAATATTTTTTAATAAAAAATTTATGAATAATTCTAGTCTATTATGATCCGATAACAAGACACAGCCACCACCGTCATAGCCATCGTCAAGGATCACTTGAAAGCCACACACCACCACCACCTCTAAAAATTTTGGAGTATTAATTTCATCTGTAAGTTGTTGAAATACATTTATGAAAGACTAAGATGCCTGAAATAAATGAAGAAGAAGCATATTGAGAGGCATTGGACTCCACAGGACAAGACAGGGGAGAAATCAATTTGTTATAATGACGACTCAAATAAATATCCCCTTAGTGACGACAATACAGATGATTTTCTAGTTGTTGCAAACTTTTCAACCTTTTTTATAAATTAAATAAAGATAAGTAGGTAGCTAAGAAAGAAAGCCCTTAGTGATGATAATACAGATGATTTTCTAGTTGTTACCAACTTTTCAACCTTTTTTATAAATTAAATAAAGATAAGTAGGTAGCTAAGAAAGAAAGAACTTGAAGTTGAACTTAATGTTATGTGATACCTTTATGCAATTTCTATATTTAATAATTTTTTGCTCATGTAATATTTGTATTTCAATTAAATTTCATGCAAGTTATCACCAAAATACTTTATGTCTAGTGCAATTTTTTGTTTCATATGTCATTGTATTATTTCATAGTTCAATAGAAATATAGTACATCATCTTTTAACATATTATTTAGGTATTATATAAAAATTTACTTTTAACATTTATTTGCACTTAACGCAATATTTTGTTTTGAGGCTTACGCCTCGCCTCATGAACAAAAAACGCCTCAATACCTATTTGCACAATTTTAAACAATGATATATATATAATTGATCGGTTGGTGAAGAGTACGTCGATGGATGGTAGTCCGAGCAATATATTCGAATTTTTGATTATCAGATTTTAGGGATTATTTCTTGGCTTTGTACAATCTAGAGTTCCTGCAATTCTTTTTATGTTGTTGCTATGTTATTATTTTATACTTCTTGTGGTGTATCTGGAGTCCCTCACTATTTTCAAATTTCCTCTTCGTGCACTGTCATATTTTATGCTATCCCACGCTCAAGTAAGCTGCAATGCTAAATTCAATTTCTTATTTGATCCAGCAAGCAATTAGCGGCATCAGCCAGATTTCATTTAGTACTGAGGAGATTGTTTCCCCAAGGAAACCCATCTCTTTGCCAGAAGTAGCAAAGCAGCGAGAATTAAGTGGGAGTCTTGAGAGTGCTGCAGAGGATAAAATGAAGAAGCAACTATCTGATGCAAAGACCAAAGAGCTCAGTGGGCATGATATTTTTGGTCCTCCTCCTGAGGTTCCTCTTAGGCCTTTAGCTGCACGTAATTTGGAATTGAGAGGACAGCTTGACTTCGGAGAACCTGCACCCCCAAACATTTGCACATCAGTGAAAGTGTCTAATGTAAGTAACAAGATTTCTTTGTTTAATTTTATTTGTTCATTCCTTCATTTAACACTTTCCTAGAAGTTTTTTTTTTTTCTCACGAGCAGTTCCCACGAAGTCTTTTTTACTGAAATGTTACATTTTTCTCATTAGACGCATTTTGTACCACTAGGAAACGTGCTCAGATCACACTATTGATAACATATCTTGTTTAGCCTGCAGAAAGTTTTGATGTTTTCTTATTATTTTCATGTCTTGTTTATTCCAGATTTTTTTTTTTATGTCAGGTGGGATACTTTTTAGTTCCTCTAATTCTTGTCCTAACTCCAAATGAAGTTGTTTCTTTGACTTTGTGGTTCAATCACAATGGTCGGATGTGATGGGATGTCTTCCAAGATCATCTAATCCATAGGGCCATTTTATGTGGATTTTTAGCTCTAAATCGCTCTCAAACCTGCTAATTGTGAAGGCTTAAATATATATATATATATATATATATA